TGCTAAATGAATGGTTGTAAGTTGAGGACGATTTGTATAGTGTTTCACTCATTACATTTAAAAAAATGGATGTTCTCGATCGTGCAACTTGTTTGTATGGAACTCACCAGAATTTTGTCTAGAAATACTCCATACATTTGTATCCATAGTCTCAGTGACAAATATCATAGATCAGATGATTGCAAAATATATGGTTCTTTGATGGTACATGGGACCCCCCCGAAAACCTTTTTAATTAGTGTTCATCCAAGGAAAAATACCATTTAATTTTTCATCATTTCATAGGGGCATTATATGGAAATTAAGTATGTCTAAATTCATGTTCTGATACTGCTTAGAGCAGATATTAGCAGTGAGCAGCTGATTGCCAGCTGCTGACTCCAGCCTTCAAATTTTATAGTACCCTGTTTCTGTTACAACTTTCTGTAAGACATACACATAATTAATTCATCCAAAAAGGATATATAATAAATTTGCCAGAACAATAATCCAAAACGTAGCTAGAGGTATTATACTTTATTTCCTGATCCTTGAGCAGAAACCTAAACCAGAAGAGAGGATTTTGCCATTCTAAAAGAAAAATCTCAACCCATTGTTGAAAATACCAAATAGTGAATACCAAATATTGAAGAGCAGCTGCATGTACAATTCTCGGTTACTAATCATACGGATGACATTGCTGGCAAAGGCCATCTGAGGAACTGTAATTTTGTGAGGAAAATCCAAATTTCTGATTCCTGGATTGGAAGCGATGAGTGTTTTTTCCCCGCTATGTATTTCACAATGTGCACTCAATGCATAGCTGTGCAGTTGAAGGAAATTGTAAATCATATGAGATTGGATTATGTTGAATCAACCTCAATATTTCAGGAAATATCTTCCACCCCATTTGCTCCAGATGTAATTGATTAAAACCCATTATTGCCAGCCTGCTAGCATATTGACTGGCTCAGTCTGATGAGATTGCTGTTAAACACATCTGGTGCACATCAGATGGGGGTGGTTAGACTTGCCTAGCAATGCTTGTGACTACACCACCACTCATCAAGATTTTGAGTAGGAATGTTTTTTGTCAATCCTTATACTTGGAAAACCTATTTGAAGATCCCAGGAATTGAACTCTGGACTTGTTGTAGACAAGGCATGTACTTTACTATTGGCTTGTTTATAATGTTATCTGTTTCATTGGTTTTAGAAAGTATATCTTTACTGCTGAAGCTTCAAGGGGACTAACAGCTGCAAATACAACAAAAGAACAACAAATAAAATCAACAAATGTAGAAAATGTAAAGAGCAACGAACACACAGTTGAAGGTTAGTTAAAGTTCCGAATAAGAAGGAGTTTACCTGTGTAAAAGGCATTTTACTGAATGTTGTATGGGTGACTTACCAATCTAATAGTGAAATACAATATGGCTAAAAAATATGAAGCAATTGAGAATGTGATATTTTAAACTGAGTCACTAAAGTTAGTTAAAAGTTAAAAGGCTGAAAGTTCAGAAAATTGCAAAAAAAAAAAAAAGAGAGAGAGCTTGTTCTAGCATATAGTTATGTCACTTCATTTGGCAGGGAAATTTGCAACAATCAATCAAAGGATTATAGATACATATGGGAAAATATAACATATGGGAAGGTTCATTACTGTTGAATGCTTTAAGTAATGAATGTGCAGGGCTAAATTTCATAGTTTGAGCAGAAGCTGCTCCTTTGGAAATGGGAATGTTGACCAGATGTTGATAACATGATGTTGCTGTGCTGTATTTCTATCGCCCCTCAGAATTCACGTGTAATGTGAATTTATCCTCTTCTATAGGCCTGCTGCTCCCATCCTTCTAAAATGTATTAAGTGTAGTCTGTCACAACTAAAGGACTGCTCACCTTGATCTGGCCAGTGAAGAGCCTGAAGAAGATAAAGGGGGGAGGGGGGAGGGAGCAACACAAGTGTGCCAATATGACTTGGTTTAAAGAAACAATCTTAGCAAAAAACAGAGGCAGAACAGTTTTCTATGTAAAGAACAGAGGTGGGTTCCTACCAGTTCTCACCTATTCGGTAGAACCGGTTTGTCAAATCTACCGAACCGGTTAGAAGAGGTTCCACCAGTGGACCCGGAAAGCAGGCCACACCTACAGAAGAGGTTCCAAAATTTTTTGGAAACCCACCACTGGTCCTTGGATATGATTATTCTACACT